TTTATTACATGATCGTGTTTCCCGAGTGTTGGTCCACAAGGTGGATTTGTCTCTCTTCCCACATCTCTGTGGTTCACGGTTACATCAGACAGGACCAAACTAACAAAACAGGAGTGAAAATCAAACACCAACGAATGTCACATTCTGCTCGTTGTTTTTCCCGGCTTTTGGTCAAAATCGACAAACGCAGTGGAAAAATAACCTCGGAGGGGGTGGCTCACAGGTGCGGTTGGGCACGTCCTTGGGTCCGCAGGGAAGAGTGGGGCAATGGGGCACATCATGTTGTGAGGTCAGCAGCTGCAGAGCAAACCCAGTCAACTCAGACCCATTAATGATGAATCGGTGTCCTTCGCTCTGGAAACGGCTGTGCGGCACAATGTCACTCCCAGAGTGATGGAGGGTTTTGTTGTTAAAGAAAGGGACGAATTAGGGCCGTGGCATATTCAGGACAAAAAAATTCCCAGTTCAAGGCTAAAGCGTGGCTACAGCTTTGAAATGTAAGTCCCTGATGACCTTCCTAAAAGCAAAGGCACCCTACGTTTCAAGGAGAAACCTGGTTAGCTGTCGGCCTTGCTATGACAGCTAATGGCTTCACGTGGACTGGCCCCATGTGCAGATGTTGTGGTGGGGTGATCTCTCTGACCTAGCCAGAGAGTGGCTCCAGATACAGTGGGTGGCTTTTCCTTGAGCCTTTAGGTTCTCCCATGGGCTGTGGGTCTTTTGGAAATTTTAACAGAGGTGCCCTGTCCCGTGAAGCAGGTTCCTAATAGATAAAGTGAGGTTTGTGTTTCCTGGTACTGAAAAGCTGGATTGTCTTGAAATGTAGAATGACCTACAGAATGAGCTGCTTTTCCTACATGAGACTGAAGACAGGAGAAAAAATGCAGATGAAATATGGATAGTCAGTGATGGATGTGATTTTTTCAAACGGGACCATAAAAACGTGATTATCCCATGAAAGATGTGCTGCTAAAAGCTTGGAAATAAAAACGAGTTAAATATCAGGATATGCTTTTTGACATCTGAATTGATAGGAATCAAGGCCTGAGGTCCCAGCAGAGAGTGCGAGTGGCTCGTGGTGGGAAGGTCTCCTGAGTTACTTCAGACATTGGAGACCCTTGGAAGAGTGCAAGGTCAGGGCTTGCTTTAACCCGGTTAGAGCTCTTTAAAGGATGTGTGAGGTTTAGACACGGAGCAAAAGCCTTAGTTAATGGGGAACAAATAAAAACACAGTCAGGTTCTGGATGGAAAATAAGCCAGGTTTAAATGTTAATGAGGAAATATAAGTCCAAGTCAAAATCTGCGCTCTGCTGAATGAAATGCATCCGCAGAGACTGGCGTTATGGCAGAGTTCATTTGACTAATCGGAGGCGTCTATTAATGCAAAACGCTTCCAAATGGAAAGGAAAATTGTTTTGCCATTTTTATTTTCCCATCAAGATGCTGGTGCGTGTTTTTAAGGAGAGTTGCTCTTCTTTGTGTGCCACAGTGCCGGGTCTCGACAGGGGGACGAGGACGCGGGAATGGGTCCACGTAGACATTGGGCTTGGGGGCCATGGTTTTGACGCTGCAGAATTGGGATGTGACGGAGGTGTTGCCTCCCTAAAAACCTGGGAGATTCAGAGGTGTTGCCTCCAGAAGGACTGGGCTAGCTTTGGGTGGGACAGCTGTCCCTAGGGAAATGAGGTTTTTTGGGATTATCAGTAATGAAGCAGGTATAAATCCACCCAATTCCAGCAACTTCATCTAGACTTTTGTCCTCTCCTCATTTTGCTTCTCTACAACCTTTCCTTCCCCCTTCCATTCCCTCGCAGATGGTCTGGGAGGGGAGCAGCCACGGCCGTTATGTTGAAAGCATCAGCCAGGGTCTTTGGCGGCTGCTGCTCCTGTAGATGCAAAGGACCCAGGCCACATTTGATACCAGGTGAACGCAGCACAGCCTAATTAGTGGTCTCCTACTGTTATTAACACCTGACTTAGGCAGGCTATTTTTTAACAGAGGTGCAAGAAGTTAATACTAGTGCTAATGGCTTTGTATGCAAGTCCTTAATGAAAGCCATGCAGGGACCAGGCCTATCATCAATATCTTTCAAACTTTGAACTTGAAATTATCCTCTCCTGCCTTTTTTTTTTTTTTTTTTTTTTTTTTTGGCTTTCTGTCCACTTTCCCACCTCCTCTGGGGTCTCCTGGCTCCGCGGTACAAGGTGGCTTGCAGGGTTGGCACCTGCCAGGCGCATGGCAAGGCTGAGCCCCTACGGCATCCAGATAAATGGCCCCAGTTGGCTACATGGGTCACTGTAGCATCTCCCACCACGTGTTGAGATGTCTGCTTGGAGAGCAAGACAAAGATACCAGTGGAATGCATTGGACTGGGAGAGGAGAGCAAGGGGATGCTGCGTTAGGGAAGAAGCATGGTCTTGGTCTTCATCTTGGTCTTTGTCTTGTCTTGGTCTTGCTTGAACCAAATTCCAGGAGAACTTCACAGGTGCAGGAAAGCATTTATATGTGTAATTTTTTAAAGTAGAAATGGAATGGGATAGGTTCAGCTGGCACATTGCTGAGACCCTCAAGGAGAGGAGGAGGAGGTCCAAGGTTGAAACTCACTCATCCAGGTGCTGCCTCGAGAGCCTTTGACCAGGGCAGGAGCAGAGATGGTGGAGCAGCCTTTTTCTGCGGTGTGATGGGGAGGTCAGAGCCTGCTGGTTTGGGGCAACAGCAGTTGATTTCTGGTGTGTTTTCCACTGTTTCTAGCATTTCTGACTTGTGTGTGATGCAGCCGCAGGGTTGTGTCATGATGTCTGGTGGGAGAGGATAATGCTCAGGCTCTGTGGTTGGATTGTGCTCTTTTCAAACAAGAATCCATTTTTTATTGAAATAGAATTTTCTTTTAAAAAATAAGCCTGTTTAAATAAATTTGGAATTATGACAACCTATTTCAAGGCTTAAATTTACTATAATCTATTAATCATTTAAATAACTTCCATCAAGGAGTCCTCCTCAAATATTAATGAGCTCAAGGGTGCTGCTTTTTCAATGATATGTCAGATCAGGAGGAAAACATCTTTAACTCTAGCTTTCTAAATGTCACAATGTCATCTACTTAGTATCTATTATTTTCACTCTTTACAATGGAGCAAATGCTGGTATTTACATTTTTCCAAATGTCAGTATGTTGAGTTCCTGTTGTGCATAAAAGCTCTTGCCTTAATTACTCCTAATTTCACGTTAGCAGGCAGGTGCGGGGAGAATATTTTCTTCCATTTGAGCTCGTTCATTTGAAGTTGAGAAGCTGTGGGGAGCTGGGGAAGCAGGAAAGCCTGTTTTCCCTTCTCAGCCCATGAATAAAGACCAGGTGGGAGAGGAGGAGATCTGCTTCTTCAAACCCTCCTGGCTCCCAGGACTGGCTTTTCAAAGAGGATCTGTGTGTCTAAACACACAGCTCAGTGGTTAGAGGGAATTTCAAAAGTGCTTCTGGCTTCCTTGATGCTTTAACTCCTCTCGGTTTTGCTTCCCGGTGGCATCGAGGAGAGCTCAGCATCTCTCTGCTTGGGACACTCAAAGCGCACTGATTACCACCAGAAATACGGCCCGTGCTGAGCAGAAACTATCTGCCAATTCACTCGCTGTGGCTAATGTTTCTTTTGATTAATCAAATCAGTTTGGGAGGATGAACCTAGTTCCTGATGCAGATTTCCCCCCCCCTCTCCCCGGTAGCTAGCTCACTTAAGGCAGCCTAATGAAATTAATTAACAGTGAATTTAAAATGTTGTTTTTTGGCACTGTAATTGAATTCCAGTTTTCATTTGAAGGCAGCATGAAACAAGCAAAATAAAGATGACAATTTGCAAAGCGAGCCGGGCTCTTTCCCACTGCTGTCAAAACGCACGGCTACAAATGGGATGGAGTGGATGGGTCTGGCCAGACCGGTCCCGTGGGGCACAGACAGGAGGGGAAGTTGCATCTCACTGGGAAGCTCATCCCATTTTTAACGGTCCTTCCAACAAGCTCAGCTGAAGGTTGTATTTTCAGGAAAAGTAAGGCAGGCTCGAGCTGATGGCTGAGATCAAGGTGGTCTGAGGTGGTGACTGAGGTGATCTCTCCTGAAATGGAGATGTTGGCTCATCTCTCCTAGGGATGTGCCAGTGTCACCCTCCCTTTTGCTAAGACCCAGCCATAAGATGTCTCTGAAATTTTGGAGTCAGCCAGGTGAATTTCTTTTAATTCAGCATTTAGTATCCTGCAGACTGTGTCATGTCCCTGTCCTCAGCTGCTCCTCCTGCTCGGGTGTCCTCTGCTGCTGTCACTCCTCAGCCCAGCTCTGTCCATCTGTCCCACTGCCCCCAAACCCTGAGGTTAAAGGTGCTTAGGGGAAAGTCAGGGTGTTTGGGCAGAAGGTGCAGGTACGTCTGCAGATCTCAGGGCTGAGTCCTGTGTGTGGAGCTGTAAAAAGTGGTTGAAGACTGAAAACCTCCAGATGCACCTCAGTCAGAGCCAGAGCTGCAGGTGTGATCACAGCCACGGGCATCTTTCTCCATTCAGAAAGGATGGGAAATATTTTCTGTCTGCAATAATTTGCGACATGGTCCCAATGATCCCATTAGTGCTGCTGAGAAGTTGTCCTATATCCTCTGCTCACCATGGCTAGAGCTGTGTTTAACATGAAGCACGTAGGTGAAACCCATCCAAATTAGGGCTGGAAGAATGCTGTCGGGCTCCCCGGCTCGGGGCCTGGGATGCTGTCAGTAAGTGCTCTGTCCCTGCACCACATCCAGATTTCTGGAGAGGCCCACATGTGGATTTTACCCAGAAGTTTGACTTTATTCCACTTTAATCTTTCAGGTCAGGTAGGGACAGCCATGGTGCTGGAGGGAGGTGACAGGAGGAAACTTGCTGTGTGTGTGTCCCTTGGTCCTTCCACCCATTTTTGGGGAGGAGGCAAAAGTCCCCCCCATCATTCCTCTCCTCCACGTTTCCTGCGTGACCGGTTTTGCTTTTGCAGAGATCTCGGGCAACACGGACGACATCCCACTGGTGCGCTGGCGGCAGCAGTGGCTGGAGAACGGCACGTTGCTCTTCCACATCCACCACCAAGATGGGGCCCCCAACCTGCCCGGCTTCGACCCCACAGACGAGCCCCAGACCGAGTCGGCAGAGGAGGAGCTGAGAATCCTCCACATCTCCGTCATGGTACGTGATGGGAAATAAACCCCCTTTCTGGTGTCCAGAAGCTTGTAGAAAATTCAGGGGCTTTTGAAAAGCTGTGTTTCCCCAGCTGGCTCCGGCTGTCCTAGGGTGGGCAGCTGAGCCCACCTTCTGGGGCTGGTTAAGATGCCCCGGGCACCTCTCCAAATGATGCTGCATGCAGGGTGCTTTAACATCGCGCTGCTTTCAACCCCTCTGTCCTGGTGTGAGCTGGAATAGAGTTAATGTTTCTTTTTGGTAGTTAGAATAGTGCTGTGTTTTGGGTTCAGTATGGGGTTTGGTAGGAGAAGAATGGTGATGGCACACTGATGTTTTCAATTGTCGTTGAGATTTCAAGGACTCTCCAACTCCCCACATCCTGCCCGTGGGCAGGTGCACAGGAGGCAGGGAGGGAGCACGGCCAGAGCACCGGGCCCAAACTGGCCAGTGAAATATTCCATATCATGGAACATCATGCTCACTGTATAGAGGAGAGGTGGCTGGAAAGGGGCTCTTTCCTGCTTCCAGGATTGCTATTGCAGGATACTGGTATTTCAGGATCGCTAGCTGGGAACGGGCTGGGTATCGGTCAGCGGGTGGTGAGCAATTGCATTGTGCATTGCCTGTTTATACTTTCTATTATTGTCAGTGTTTTACTTTATTACCATTTTTAAACTGTTTTTATCTCAACCTGCGCCGTTTCCCTTTGCCTCTCCGATTCCCTCCCCCATTCCCAGGTTGGGGAGGGTGGGCGAGCGGCCGCGTGGGGTTTGGCTGCCGACCAGCTTCAAACCACAACACACTCCCTTAGTTTGCATCGCTTTGCAAATATGTTTGCAGGGGTGCCTTTATCCCCAGCGGGGTGCTGGGCTTTGAAGGTCTCAACCTCCCTTAACCCAGGGTTCATTCCCATTGACTTTGTCCGGAGCCCTTTGCTCGGTGGATGGGTCCCGGTGCCACTGGGCACTGTCACCGCCGCTTTTTTCAGCGCGGCAGCCCTATGGCTGCTGTTCTGCAGCGTGCAATAAGCAAGAGCATCCCATGCGTGGAGGCTGCACCTCTCTCCTCCTCCCCCCAGGCACGCAGGGACAAGGTTTTGATGGCAGAGAAAGGAGGGCGAGACAGAGATCTGTGTGTTGGATGTGAACCTGTGGTTTGTTGGTCGGGGTTTGTTTTTTTTTTTTTTTTTTTGTTACGCTGGAAAAAATTTGAAGAATCCAACAATTTTTGTGCCACTGGAAGATAATTAGCCGGAGACAATGTGTTGCCGAGGCTGCAAACAGGCTGTTTAATGGTGCCTACTGTAATGAGAGTGACAATAGCTCTTCCAGATTGCAGCCCCAGGCCAGGTTTCTCCTCCATCATTTGTGCTTGATTAGTCTCGAGGAAAAAAATAATCACTGGCAAAGCTGCCCCCAAAACCATTTTGCACCATTATCTTCTTTTTATTGTCCGTTCCCAGCTGCTCCTGAGAGAGCGCATCACCTCGGGAGAGGCTAGCCCTGCTCTGCCACGGTGGTCTTGGTCTTCTTGGGTATTGCTGAATTCCAAGATCAAGACAGGAGTGCTTGAAAGAAGGCTAATCATCAACCTGATGTCTGCAATTCATTGCTCTCGTGGCAAAATGTGTATATTCAGATTGAATCCTGCCTCTCCCCCTTCCTCCCCATCACTCTCAGCTCTGCTCCAGTGGCACCCTTACACCCTGACAGAAAGAGGTTGGCTTTTGTGCCAGGAGACGGGATCACGTGGAGTTTTCAAGGCTGATTTTCTTTCTTTCCCGTGTGGTTGCCAAGAGAAGAAGTGTGAGCGAGGGGCTGTATCCATCGTGGCAGCAGCCGGCACGTGGCCTGTGCGAGAAGCCTTCCCGCGCCCCTCCAGCTCAGGGCTCCTCTCGCAGCCGTGGTACGAGTGCCGGGTTTGGGGGAGGATGAAGGCAGAACGGGGAGGTCCGTGGAGAAGAACCGGGGGGTCTGAGGTGGAGCCCTGCCCCCCCTCCAACAAGCGGTGGGTGGAGGGGACTCCGTCACTGGTTTCCATCCTCCCTTCGGAGCCTCTTGGAATCTCAAGCGGCCGCAGGCTGCCTTTCCTCAGGGATAGCCTGAGGTCTCAGACTGTCAGGGCAGAAGAAATTCGGTTTCAATTAAATACTTGGTCTTTTTTGAGAACCCACAGCTGCAGTCCTAAACAAATGGGCATCCGCCTGACTTCAGCTCCGGTTTGGTCTCCCTTCTTTACCAGCACAGGCGTATGGCAGAGCTCCCTGGTGTTTGGGGGATTCAGGGTACACGCCGAGGGCAGCAAAGGGATGCCAGGAATGCACCGGTGTTACTCCCACCTCCTTGTCCCCCTGCCTGCAGATGGGCCCTTCCCCAGGGTGATGGAGAGCCATTACATGGCCCATCTCCGGTGGGGTGGAGATAGCCTCCACTTATTTATGGATCAGAAGAACTCAAAGGAATTTGAACCTGATAGAGAACTGACTTTACCACTAAAATCTCAGTACGAGCATGGCCAGGCATGAATCCAGTGCCAGTTTTCAGCCCCAGTGAGAGATTTCCCGTCCTCCCAGCTGCAGGCTCCTGGCCAAAGAGACGCCGTGTGCCAGCCAGGCCCCCCTCCTCTCCTGGACTGCTTGTCTCCTTAATCACTGGAGTTTCTTTGTTTTTCTTCCTTTTTTTTTAAAGATAGTTTGGTAGGAATCTAGGGGGGTGCACTGCAGCAGCTCCATTATCCTGGGAATGAAAGAGGGTTAAACTGTAATAGCCATTAGAGCTTCTTTTCCAGCTGCCTCTCCTGCTTCTCATTCAATAATTCCTTTAATGTTTTATCTTAATGGAGCAGATTATTACTATTATTTTATTTTATCAAGATCACCTATTACATAGAAAAGAGGAGGAGGACTGGAGCCATGGAAAGACATGGATCTCGTAGCTGGCTGTGTGTTTTAAAAATAATATTATTATTACTATTATTATTATTATTGGTAGACTGGGCATAAAGGGCCAGCTTGGGCTTTCATCTCGCCGCCTCTATCTCTGCGCAGTGACGATGTCTCCGCAGGATGGTGACCCTGGGGACAGTGGTGAGGTGGCAGGGCTGGGTGCAGTTTTGGGGTCCATCCCTGCAAGGCAGGAGCTTGTTCAGTCTTTTCCCCCCAGGCCTTCCCCAAACAACGCTTCGGTCATCAGGCTGTCTCGAGCCTTGATCTCCTTTAATCCGTGCTGCAATTTTTGCGGGATGCCCTGGGAAAATCTCCCAAGATTGAGAGTGACAGCACTGAAACCGGCTGGAAACGGCTCAGAAAAAGTTGCCCATAGGAGCATTTGCCTGGAATAAATCTGATCTCTGCTTTCAAAGATGTGTTGAGGGAGAGTGAAACAAAACACTCTCTGCTTTAAATGCTGCTTTTTCATGCCTCGGTGGTGACTTCAAAGCTGGTCTAACTTGAGGCAGGCTTCATCTGGGTGCGCTTGGCCAACGCTGGGTGCTCCCTGGTGTGACCAGGCTCCTCTCACCGTTGCCTTTGCTTTGGCCACCCCGGAGCATCCCCGGGGTGTTTGCATCCCCAGGGGGATGGCTGGTGCTGGCCCCCCCGGCTGAGCCCTGCTCGTGTTTGTGCCCGCAGGGCGGGATGATCGCCCTGCTGCTCTCCATCCTCTGCCTGGTGATGATCCTCTACACCCGCCGGCGGTGGTGCAAGCGGCGCCGGGTGCCGCAGCCCCAGAAAAGCGCCAGCGCCGAGGCGGCCAACGAGATCCACTACATCCCCTCAGTGCTGATCGGGGGCCACGGGCGGGAGAGCCTGCGCAACGCCCGCGTGCAGGGCCACAACTCCAGCGGGACGCTCAGCATCCGTGAGACCCCCATCCTGGACGGCTACGAGTACGACATCACCGACCTGCGGCACCACCTCCAGCGCGAGTGCATGAACGGCGGGGAGGACTTCGCCAGCCAGGTCACCCGCACCCTGGACTCGTTGCAGGGCTGCAATGAGAAGGCCAGCATGGACCTCACACCAGGTGGGGACGGGACAGTGGGGCATGGGCTGAGCTGGGTCCTTTCCAACTTATCTTCTCTCCATCGCTCCATACCTGTGTTTTCCTGTGAGCATTTTCCCTGGGTTTTCATTGCCTGTGAGATGTTGCTGGCGCTCTGAAGGTGCTTCCATTCCTGGGAGACCTTGCAGCCAGTTGAAGGCACTCCCTGCTTAGTGGGACGTGACTGGGACAATGCAGGATGGAGCTTTGAGGGGAAGGGATGTGGTTCTTATGGCCTGATGGAGAACCAGAATGGTGTCCCCTCCAAGCTACCCCATGGTGGCCCCCAAAATTCCCTTCTATATCCCAGGATTTCCGGTGTCTTCTCCAGCTGAGGTTTTTTGTAGCAAAATTACACTTGCCATCAGTACAATTCAGAGTTAACGCTGTCTTCTGATCACCAGCAGAGATTCTTTGAGGCTTGTAACACACTTGCTCGTTGGCCGTATTACCAACTGTGCCATCCAGCTGGAGCCTTCTCAACTGAGACATGGTTTGGAAAGACCTTGGTGTGGTTTCTAAAGCTCTCCAGGGGTTTTCTTTATAGACCTGGGTATGCAGAATTACCCTGAGAGTCTGAATGTTAAATCTCAGCTGTTGGCTAGCTTGGTGGAGGTGCTGGTCCCCTTCAGGCTTTGAGGAACTCATGGGGTGCATTGGGGGCAGCTCCACCCATTGGCCACGGGACCCCAGTCTTCTCATGCAGATGCTGGAGATGGATCTAAGGAAAATCTCTTTCTCACCTCCCTCCTTTTTTAAAATCTTTATCCCTGAAAGATTTTACCTTCAATTCTTCCTGCTCAGGGAGTGACAATGCCAAGCTGTCCCTGATGAACAAGTACAAGGACAACATCATCGCCACCAGCCCTGTGGACTCAAACCATCAGCAGGCCACGCTGCTGTCCCACACCTCCAGCAGCCAGCGCAAGCGCATCAACAACAAGGCGCGAGGTAAGGGGGGTCCCCAGGGTGGATGGGGTGCTCTGGGCTTCCACCCACCCACGATCCAGCAACTCATCCTCTCCTGGGGTGGAGAAATAGGGCTGGTGTTGGGCAAGAGCATGGAAAGGAGGGTTTGGGTGGAAGGAAGCGGAAAAAGTGATGTCTACAAATATGCAGATGATGTTGGGTTGGTTGGTTGCAAAGATGCAGAGGATGTTGGCTGCAGTAAATATGTTGTGATATCGGCACGGCCACAAGGAAAAGTTGCAAGGTAATGGGAGCTGTGGCAGGGGGCACGGCTGTGCGTGGTGGGGAGAAGATACTGTCCCTGCTGTGCCCAGAAGACAGAGATCCTGGTCTTCAAGGCAAGGCTTGCCCCGACGGGGTGAGGTAGGACACAGTGGCTTGGGGTGGCATGGTGCCAGCCTCGCCGTGACCACGCTCGGTGTCCCCTGCAGCTGGCTCAGCATTTCTCAACCCCGAGGGGGACTCGGGGACGGAGGCAGACACCGATCCCCAGCTGACCTTCTACACGGACCCCTCACGGAGCCGGAGACGCAGCCGAGGTGGGTGCAGCTGCGGAGGCGGGCGGCGAGCCGTGGCCCCTCTTGCCTTGTTTGTCATCGCCTCTCTGTGTTTGGAGACTTTCCATGTGCAAAAGATGGAAACCCAGGAGCAATCTGGGCTGCCGTGGGCAGGTGCTGGTCCCTGCTCCCACAAGGGGCTGTTGCTGCTCTCCGGCGGAGTTTCTCAGTAGAGGATGAAATATATTCTGATTTTTTGCTGAAGGCTTCTGCCAGGCTCTGGTGTGTATTAATGAGTAACACACTTCAAAGGCTGGCCCATGAGCTCCCGTGCTGCTGCAGGTTTTCTCCAGCACCATGCACGTACGAGCTGTATGTGCAGCAGAGGATGGGGACAGGCTTGGTCCCCAGGCAGAAACCTCGCCCCACTGCCCTGCACCACCCCTTTGGGAGGTTTTCTTCTCCAAGGAGGAGAGTCTGTATCTGTTTTCCCTCGCTCCAGCCTTGTGTGCTGGATGGTGCCTTGTTTTTCTGGGAGTGGTGGGACTGGGAGCCATCTCCTTCACCCCCAGCACCCATGCTGCGTGCTGGGAGGCTGGTTCAGGCTTTGCCTCCACAGGGGATAGCTCAGCCCTCAGCCAGCTTTTTCTGCTCAGATTTTTCAGCTGAGAGATTAAAAGTCAAAGACCTGCATGCCCTGAGCAGTTAGGGCTCTCTGGTGCTTTTTCAAAGGCATCCAGGAGGCTGTTATGGCAAAATTAACTTAAGAGAAGTTCTGAGAAGGAAGGGGAAAAAAAAAAAATATTGCATTTAATTTTCTTCTCAATCTCTCTGCTCTGCTTTAAAGTCCTGCTGCTGCAAAGGTCTTGGCATGTTGCAGTGCAGGGGTGCGGGAGAGCCTGAGTTACGGGGGCTTGGGGAGACCCCAGCTGCAGCAGATGGGAGGGTGGGTCCCATGGCAAAAGCTGCTTCATGCTCTTGAAAATCCAAAGTGGCTCTGCTTGATTGGATTGATGCTGGATTTCCAGGGGGCTGGGCAGGGTCTCTGCACCCCAAGATCCCCTGGATGCACCCCAAGATCTTCCTAGTTCCCCCAGGTCTCAGGTTTGAGTGCGCTTTCATGTTTTGCAGTGGGGTCCCCCCGGAGCCCTGTGAACAAGACCACACTGACCCTCATCAGTGTGACGAGCTGCGTCATCAGCCTGGTGTGCTCGTCCCACATGAGCTGCCCCCTTGTCGTCAAGATCACCCTCCACGTTCCTGAGCACCTCATCGCTGACGGTGAGCACCCCATGGTCTTACCCACCCTCTCCTGCCCCATTCTGTAAGGGAGGGGAGGAGGGAATGATGGAGAGGAAGGGTGCAGGATGGGTGCAGGATGGAGGAGACAGGCTTGGGATGGAGAGTACCGGTGTGGGATACAGGAGATGGGTGCAGGATATGGGATGGAGGTGGTCATCGTGGGACGGAGGGGACAGGCACAGGATGGAGGGGACTGTCATGGGATGGAGGAGACAGACATGGGATTGGGGGGACTGTCATAGAGCAGAGGGGGTGGGCACAGGACAGAGGGATTCATGGTGGAACAGAGGGGGTTGTTGCAGGACTAAGGGCACCGTCACAGGATGGAGGGGATGCACAGGGGACCATCACCAGATAGACGGGACCATCACCAGGTGGAGGGGACCCTCATGGGTTGGAGGGGACAGCAGTGGGTCACCGCTGCTGACTCCCCTCTCGGCGGCAGGGAGCCGGTTCATCCTGCTGGAGGGGAGCCAGCTGGATGCCAGCGACTGGCTGAACCCGGCGCAGGTTGTCCTCTTCTCCCAGCAAAACTCCAGTGGGCCCTGGGCCCTGGACCTCTGCGCCCGGCGCCTCCTCGACCCCTGCGAGCACCAGTGTGACCCCGAGACTGGTAGGTGGTCAGGTGGTTGGGGTGGGTTTGGGAGCTCACCTCTGCCTGCTCAACCCAGCTTTGGTGGGAAGATGTTTTCTCGCTTTGCTCCATGTGTGAGAAGAGAGCTGCTGTGTGCAGGCTGGGTTTGGCAGGGAAGAACCTGGAAAACCTTGTCTTCCCATGTCCCTCATGTCCCCCCCTCTCTCCATAGGTGAGTGTCTCTGCTACGAAGGTTATATGAAGGATCCTGTGCATAAGCATCTCTGCATCCGGAATGAGTGGGGAACGAACCAGGGGTGAGTGTGCCTGCTGCTGCGTGCCCAGGCTTGGACCATCCTTGCACGAGCTGCTGGGCTTCAGCAGCAGTAGGGCTGTGGCAAATCTTCTTGGGTGAAAGAGAGTCATCTTGGTGAATTGTAAGGTCAGTGCACGGCTGGGCTCTGCAGCAGGTCTGTGGAAGGCGAGGATTTCTATTCTTCGAAATAATCAGGGATGATGTAGAAAAGGCCATTGCTAGGTTTCAGAGTAAACACAGCCTGGAGAAGATCGAGGCTGCTCCTCTTCCCCTTGTGGGCAACCTCCTTGGCATCCTGTGCTTTGTGAGGCTTTTGGTTTGGGTGTCCGAGGCGTCAGAGGAGGGTTGAGGTTGGGCTGTGGCCCCTGGTGGAGGGGGGAGGCTGCGGGATGGGGACACCCCATTGAAATTCGGGAAAATTAGATGCTTCAATGCCCGTGGCCTGCGGGAACAGAGCAGTCGCCCTCTGCGCCCCAGCTTTACAACCCTGGAAGTGCAAAGCTAAATTTTTCTGATCTTTTGGCAGCAATTGCGTGCGGGATTTCAAACATTCCCACCTCCCTGTGACCCTCGGGGGATGCTCCATCTGGTCATTAACACTTCTGGGTCTCTGACATGCAGATGGGGACTTCCAGGGGTGGCTGGAGGTAGTGTGCAGAAAGCCAAGACCCCCTCAAAAGCAGAGGCCCTACATACGCTGGCACCTCCAACCCCCTTTTTCCTCCCCTCCTTGTGCCGCAGCTGGATCTGCGGCAGCCCCGCGCGTGGCAGGACGCCCTCTCTGAAGTCATTAGTCTTCACAGCAGGAAGACAAATTCATCAAAGGCCGGGCTTGGCGGTGCCCCTGCTGTGCTGCCGCGGGAGGCTGCCCGCTCCGGCCAGCCCTGGCTGCATCCCTTTGAACTGGGGCCCGGGGAGAGCACTGCCACTCTGCCTCCAGCCCCCTCTCTGTGTATTTGTTTCATTTAAAAAATGATTTAGCGATTAAATCCAGTGCCGTGGGACATAAGGGCAGCCGCTGTTGTGGGTGCCCTGAGCCAGGCTGGGGACAGGGCGATGCTCATGAGACTGGTGGCCCTGTGATGGGGGGATGTGCTGAGTGGTGTGGTCCGGGTCCCCAAACCGCTGCGAGGTACCTCAGCTGGGGTGGGAAAACACAGGCAGAAATACAGCTCCCTGCCCTGGTCATCCCCAGGGGACAAATGTCCAACAGGGTTGTCCCCAGTTCCTCTGTGCCCATCTAATAACAGGCACCGAGTGATAGAGACCAAAGAATGTGAGGAGGTATTCCCCCTGCCAGGGGCTTGCCCATTTTGGGACGTGTTGGGTTTAGGAGTGTCCCACAGTGGGTTGGAAAGAGCCCACGGCCATGCATGGCTTTGGTGTCAGCCTGTGCCTCGGTCAGAGCTACCAGCAGTGTGCTGGATCCACCACCTTGCAAAAAGCAAGAAGGCAAATGACTTTGTTCACTGAGGCAGGTAGTAAAAATGACTTTGTTCATTGAGGCAGCTAGTAAAAATGGTTAAGCACAGGTGGAGAAGCATTTGTTTCCTTCCCCTCTGCTTTTCCTTTGCTTCTGGGCATGGGACTGCATTTTCACACTTTTCCTCCCATGCACATTGCTCTTCTCTAGCTTCTTCCAGATCTAGCTGCTCTATCTTCTAAAGGGAAAGTGGAGAAAAAGCTGCTTTCAGGTGAATTGGGAAAAAATATAGATGGTAACAAGCTGGAGAGAAACCAGGGTCAGGAAGGACAAATCCATTCCTGCAGCCCTCTGGACCTGCTCGCAGCTCTGGATCCAGGTTTTGTCTCATCAATGACAACCCGAAAGGTGCTCAGGACACACTCTGTTCCTCCGGGGGGATTTTGGGCCCCGTTTCAGACCCAGGCCCATCCCGATGCCCCCATGGGAGCCTTCTCCATTTTCATGCTTGAGCCTTTGCCTTTCCGCCTGCAACAGTGTTCACACCTGGCCAGGATACATGTTGTCTTGGGTTTCTTCCCACATACCAGAGTTGGCTATGATAAATCATACGCAGCATTTCCAACATACTTTCCTGTTTGAGGCAGAGAAGCCTAGTAGATCTCTTATTCCCCAAGGTGCAACACAGCCCTAGACCATGGTTTGGGGCCATCAAAGTCCTTCTGCCCTTCTTTGAGCTCTCGAGGAGGCTCTGATGCTGCAGTGTTGGGGCTTTTTCAGCACCACCCTTTGAAAACTCCTCTCTCGAGTTGTTTGAAACGAGGGTCACTTTGTGTTTCTACTTTGAACTTGTCAGATTTTTGTTTCAGAAAATGGTAGCAGCTGAAACCACACTTAACCACATTTAACCACCCCTGGCTGTGACTTCCTCTATTTATAGGGGCTCTTGAAAACGTGTCCACACTAAGCGTCGTGATGTTAGCTTGGTGTTTAATGAGGATATTTTTTTCTGTGCTGTGATCTGTTCCTGATGTCCGGATGCTGCTTGGTGCAGCTCTGCCTGCAAGGGCTTGTGATGATGGAGGTCTCTTCTAGCTGTCCAAGGTGTCCCCTGTGAACCCTTGGCCTCCATAGGGTCATGTCTGTGACGAACTCTCTTTGGTCCAGCAGAACCATCTTGCCAGAGCCCATTTAACTGAATAACTTGTAACTTTAACCTGGTATTTAGGTTTTATGGGGTGGAGGTTGAGCTGCCAGACCACTCTGCCTTTTGTTGCGCTCATCAACTCACTCCCAGCTCTAGCCTGACAAGGTTGCCCACAGGCTCACCTCAAAGAGATGTCTTCAAATCTTCCGCTCTCTCCCCCCATCCCAAGGTGAGATCAACTGTGCCTGAATTGTTTCTGACCACTGTTTGTCTAATATGCTCCTAACCCCTCCAATATTAGAATGATGTGCTACAGCCATGGGTAGCACAAGCCAGGCAGCAAGTCAGTCCCTGGAGAAGCCACGTCAGCTCTTAGCAAAGGGGAATTCAGCAAAGCAGGTCCTGGGGGCTCTGCCAAATCCCTTGGCACGCTTGGGAGCGACGTGGCCTGGCTACGACCTCTTCTGTTTTCCTAGGGTGGCAGTTTTATCTGAAAACTCATTTCAACCCTTTGATTTAGATAGGTTTGCCACTGGTTTGTTTTTATTTACAGTGATTACAGGTTGACTCGGTGTCTGTCACTCAGCAGCATCTAATTTTGCTCAGGAAGGTGAGCTCATCTTTGAACTTTATTGGCGACGGCAGCGAGGCTTTGTGTGTTGTGTGTATTTTGGGTACCATGCTGAGATCCATGTCTCTGCTGTACATCTTTTACCCAATGCATCCTGTCCCTAAATCTTCATCAGCTTTTAAAAAAAATAAGATCTTTTTGATCATGGGTAGCAGATACATTTGATCAGCTGCTTTTTTTTGTGCTGCTCTTCAGCTGTTTTAAACAAATCTGGCTGGTGCTGTTTGTACGTTAACAGTCTGTCTTCCTACTTTGATATGGGTTGTTAATTAGCTGCTCTTCGGCTCTTACTCTAACATTTCCTGGGCAGGATGCAGTTTCCAGCAATCCAACCAACCCTGCCTCATCTTTGCTCATCAAACAAAATTCCTGCGGTTACTTAGTGGTATGATGCGACCAAAAGTCAAAGCAGCTCATTCTGCCTTTAGTTAATAAACTCTTACCTGCCTGCATTTGTACTTCTTCATCTCAGCCCTCAGATCCATCATGCAATGGCCCATGGCTTTCCCATCCCTGTGTGCTATTCTTGAGTGGGTGCCCTTTCTGGACATCCCGATGAGATTTAAGACAGTCTGCATTTAAGGGGTCTTTATCAACGTGCCCTTTCAACTTGTAATGGGCTTCTCCCCGGCATGGGGACATTTTAGGCCAATTTAAGGCAATTTGGTGAATGTGTCTGGCTGGGCGCTCTCATCTTCTTCTAGCAGTTGGCAAGCAGGGGCCACCCCAGCCCCCTTCCCTTGCAGAGCAAGTTACCCCTTTCTCCACCCCGCAGCCCTGCAGCCGTTTTTTGCCAGCACAGGACCCAAATTAATGCAACAGCTCGTGCCCAGTGCACCCACCTCCCCTTCGCATGGTGCCTTTTCTCTTCTGCACCCAGATATCCCCCTCCCTGGAAGTACTCCTGTTCCTCCTATCCCATCCCCACCCACCAACCATTCCCCACCATGTTGTAGTGACAAGGGCAGCACTTTTTCTGCTGGAAGTATTTTTTTTTTCTCTTTTTCTCTTTTTTTTCCCCACCCCTTTTTCTTTTTTTTTTTTTTTTTTTTTTCCCCCTCTGCCTCTCTCCATCCCCTGCTGTGTGCCTTGGCTTTACGAGCTTGAAGGACGGCCAGATAAAAAGCTCCTCTTTCTTTCAGATCCTTTCACCAAACCACCATCCGCCTCCTCCTCCCGCCCCATTCTCCTCGCAGATTTACAGGCAGCCCAGGGAGAAAGTGCCAGCATTAGCATTTTTAATAAAGAGCTGCTTGGAAGGGATGGCAGGGGGTGGGGAGGTGGGAAGGGAAGAAGCACCAGAAGCTGAAGCCTGAGCAAAGCCATTGCAAAGCCAAGTGAAGTCGGAGGAGTCGGGATGGGCACTGCTGGTGGGAGAAGTCAGCAGCTCGGTGCTGATGTCACATCTACTGTCTGCCTGCCCCTCATCAAGATGGTGTTGGGTCTTCATGGGTCCCCGCTTTGGTCATCGTGGGGAGTGGGTCCTGGGGCTGCAGGAGGGGTACAGGTGCCACGGGGATGCTCCTGGTCCGTTCACCCCGGGCTTGAAATCCTGAGCTGTCAGTGAAGGGACGTGGTGAGTGCCTTTGTCCGCACTGCTGGCTCCCAGCACACACTTGTAGCTGGTGCTTTGATGCCATGATGAAGTTCGGCACGGCCATCCTCGTGCCGCTGGCTGGGTGGAAACCCCTGGGAGCACAGGGGGTCGGGGAAGTCACCTATTTCAGTGCGTAACAGCTGACCACCACTTCCTCCAAGTGGCATTTCAGCCATGCAGATGTGCAGCAACTTCTCAGCGCCTTCTGCAAAGAGCCTCTCCTGCAGCCCCTCCAACCTCCCTGCCAGCTCCCCTCAAACCAGCTGCTCCGGGTTAGCACATCGTGGTCGCATCCCACAGGCACTGGGCTTTGATTCCTCATCCCACCCATCTTGTCTAGAAGAGCTTTGCAGGGAGCGAGGACCAGCAGGAGCACAGTTCTCAACACTGGAAGTCAGTCTGGCCTCGTCCCCTTGGGGCTGCAATTCCAGCGTGGCCGGGGTCCTGTTGAGGTGGATCAGAGCATCACCAGTAGCACCAGGTCTGGAGGGCTTAGCAGATATTTCTGGAGCATCCACTCAAGCCCAGATCTGGAGCAAAGCTTAGCTGATGGTTCAGCTGGAAAAAGCAGAGGCCTGAAGATTGTCCTGGGGATGCATGGGCAGCTCTTTGGCTGCGGGAGCTTGTTGAGTGAGTGTGGGGAGTTTGCTGGATCTCAGCTGCCCTGGTGATCCCCTGTTTTGTTGTTTCACATGCCTAACTGGGTGCCAAGGCTTGCAGGGAGCCGAAAGCTGTCATTTCTGGCCCATTTAATCCAATCCGATCAGGCGCAGAGCTGCTTCTCATCAGTCTCGCTTTCTTTTGTCAGCTCTGAAGACCATGCGACCAAAATACCTGCCAAGAGCAACAAAAACCAGAGCAGAGAGGTGCCTCCAGTTATCACAGAAAGCAGGGGAGGAGACAGCCATGCGAGCACACGCTTGTGTGCATGGGAGAGGAAGGAGGGGGTGAAACAGCGGCAGAGGCACGGGGGGCAAAAGGCAGAGACAGGAGGTGGGGTGTGCCTGGGGGAGGAGATCTCGCCCTGTCCTCTGCAGCAGAACACACGAGTCAGCAAGGGTGTGTGGGTGGGAATGTTGCCGCTGAGCTCCTGGAGAGCTTCCTTGGAGATGAGGAGGGACGGTGCGTCTCTTGTTGAGCTGGAGGTTTTGTATGGAGATGGACTCAGGGCTTACCCACAGAAGGTACCACATCCTTGCAGACTCAGTGGTGTGTGGCAGGTTGTCCCCTGCCATGTAGGCACGTAGGTAAAGACTCAACATTCTTTCTAATGGGCCTTTTTTGACCCCGAGTATTGGCAAAGTGGGCCAGGCTGGGGAGATGCCACACCGTCCCTTCCTGGAGCACGGAAACCTCTTCAAATCCATCATCACACGAGTTTTAGCCACAGCTGGAAATTGCACCCTGCGGGGGGACACAACATGGCCTGGGTGCTGATTTCCACCTCCCAGGCAGGTCGAAGCTGCCCGGCTGCATGCCCTGGACGCGTTGGCATCCATGGGCTACCAGATGTGCCGCCTGGCAGAGGTCCGGTAGCCACTGCCTCGGCGCTGAGCTCCACGGCAAGCCCAGAGCGGCTCTTTATCACCGCTTGTCCACCCGAGTCGATGGGGAACAATACCTTGCCTCTGCTTTTATTCCCTGCCTGGCGTGCTCCTGAGAAGTAAGAATAAAACCCATCTGCCAGAGCGCTGGAAGGCGGAGGCGCGAAGCATTCAAGGCGTCAGGGAGATGCAGGGAGCACATCGCTTTCCAGCTGAAGCTGACCTCATTCGGGGCAATCCGATCTGCGGGCTGAATGTAATCCCCTGCTCCCAGCCAACCGGACAGGAAAATGGCATTGTATCCCAGCAAGGAAATGAGACAGCGCACTGTAATCCTGCAATCAGGATTTTTATTTATTTTTTTTGTCCTTGCTGAAATAACTTCAGATTAGAAATTAAAGTGCTTGTGCAGGAGAGCTGTAATTGCCTCTGGAGAAAATCCCCGGGCTTGTCGGCAGCACCTGATACTCTCACCCTGAATTTTAACAGCAGCGATGTGACGAGATGGAAAATCTCTTTCTTTCCCCGGCTCTTGCAAAGGGGATTTTGAGCTTTGAGGTTTGGGAGCGGGGTTCATGTGGTCTGATTCAAACCCCACGGCGGTCGGGTCTCTGACTGCCCTTGCTCTGCCTTGTCAGCCTTGCTCTGCGAGTGATGCTCTGCCAGAAGGGCTGTGCTGCTGGGGATGCGTGTCGCAAGGTGTCGTGGCCGTGGGTGTCCCACCAAAGGGCACTGGTCACCGAATCACGGTTACACATCACCCTGCGCTATCTAGGGCAGCAGGGGTGGAGGCGATGGGGCCATCAGCTCTCCAACATCCTGCTTGCCTCCAAGCTTCCAGCTTGCCTTCCAGAGCCCTTTGCAAAGTCTCACAGGGTCTGAGTCTGCCTCAGCTCCCCCCCTGAAACAGTGAATCCCAAGGGGAATAAGGCAGGTGGTGAAGCTGCGGCCCCGGACCTGATGTGCTCCCTCGCAAAAGCCACGCAGAGAGAGGGTTCAGCTGCATTTTGGTTTGCTTTTTGCAATTTGATGGCTGTGACACAAATCCCTAAAACAGGAGCTGGGCAGGTGGTACGTGAGCGTGCAGCAGCGTGAGGCTCACGGACGGCGGGGGGGACTGAGTGCACTGTACCCCAAAATAGAGGATGTGATACACCATGGACCTATTGTCAGGTTGAGGCTGGGGTGAGGATCTGATGTTGTGGGAACTCCAAAATTTGGACCTTGGATATGGGGCTATTTTATCACCTTGTCTTGGCTTGGTTTGAGCTGTCTCATCCCAGGGCCCCTTTGCACGAGAACTGGGGGCTAAGGAGGGGAAGCATTTTGGGCTGCAAGTGGCAGCAGGGACACGATGCTGGTGTTATGCTCCTGGGTTTCTCTTCCAGGCCTTGGCCGTACACCATCTTCCAGCGTGGCTTTGACTTGGTGCTAGGGGAACAACCATCCGACAAGATTTTTCGGTAAGCGGTAAAGGCAACCTGCTCAGCACGTTTTGGGGCTCAAAAATATGACTTGGGGTCATTTGGGCGGGCTGGTAGCCCAGCTGGCAGGGCTGAGCACGGCTGTCCTGTGCCACCTCCTGCGGATGTGCGAGCTGTCATGTGGGATGCTGGATGCCCAGCATCTTCATTTGTGATGAGAGTGAGGTTTAGGCTCCGAAGGAGGATTTCTACTGAAAAGGAAAGTTCCTTTTTTATTTTATCATTATTTTTATTTACCTAAGTTACATGTGCCTTTTGAGGGTCATTTGGGTACATCTGGAGGAGCCACCCCATTTTACTCTGCCCCATCTGCCTTTGCTCAGGCTAGCATCCCTGCAGGGCATGGGGGAGGTTCAAGGGCTTGGCTGTGGGTAGAAGCAGCCCTCCAGGCTCGGCATTTCCCTCTATTCCAGCCTTTGCTGCTTTCCCTGGCAGGTTCACCTACACCCTGGGGGAAGGCATGTGGCTGCCGCTGAGCAAGAGCTTCGTCATCCCACCAGCCGAGCTGGCCATCAACCCCTCGGCCAAGTGCAAGACCGACATGACAGTGATGGAGGACGCAGTGGAGGTCAGGTAGGTGTGCTGGTGGGGCGAAGGCATTTAGGAGGCATTTCAGCAAATAAACTGGTGGTGCGTCCCTGAAACGAGAGGACCAACCCGAAGTGCATGGGGCTTGATGAGAGCTGGGACCCCTGCCCCACGTTTTGCAGGTGGAGATTAGTATGGCCGTTAACCTGCCCCTCTCGAGTGCCTGCAAAGCTGAGCCTTCGGAGGTAGCTGTCATCATCTCAGCAGCTCCTGCACCCCTCTAAAAGCATGGCTGCCATTCAGTTTGCTGTCAGCCCAAGGGAAACCTGAGCTCCAGAAAAACCCACGCGGCAACCGCGGTCGTGCACGCATTTACAACGTCTCATCAGAGTAGTGACACACTTCCTCCTCCTCTTCCTCCTCCTCGCAGGGAAGAGCTGATGACCTCCTCCTCCTTCGACAGCCTGGAGGTCCTCCTTGACTCCTTCGGCCCCGTCCGCGACTGCACCCGGGACAACGGGGGTTGCAGCAAGAACTTCCGCTGCATCTCGGACCGCAAGCTGGACTCGACGGGCTGCGTGGTGTGTGGCCCCATGGGGACCTGCAAATCCTCTTTGGTCTGAGCGAGGAGGGGGAAGGCAGAGGGGGAAGGGCTGCACCCTTCCTCCCTTCCCGTCGCCTCGGGATGGATGTTTTGGGGTTGGTTTTGCAGTGGGAAGAGCTGTTTCGGGGCTGGCATCTCCTCCGTCCCTGCTCTTGCTGCACGCACACATGAGGGAGTGAGAACTCCTCTGCTTGCTGGTTCTCCGGGAGGTCCCATGTCACTCACGCATGTCCCCTGTCACTGCCACAGCTGCTTTGCTGTGCAGGGAAAGCGTGTGCCCAAAACAGAGGGGTGCGTGGGGCTGGGACGTTGCCACCAGAGCTAGACATCGAGGTGGGGAGGCTGTGAGCATGGGGCAGCCGGTGGGTTTGGAAAGGGCAGCATTGCTTTGGCAGTCACCGGAGCTGCGTGCCTCCCAGCATCCCCTTGAGCTGGGTTTGGGCCAGCACATTAATTCGTTGGGGGCAGCTTGGGGGGCTCCTACCCACCCCAGGGGCTGCACTTTCCGGGGGCAGAGGAGGCAGGAGGAATATCTGCCGCCGCCTGTCCCGCAGCCCCCAGGCATCGCTCAGGCTGCACTTTCCAATGGAGGGCAGCGCTAGATCCCTCTCCTCCATCTCACCCCCGGAGCCAGATTTCTTCCCTGGGGGCTTCACCTCTCACTTTCCCCCCACACCAGTGCCCGTCGGGACTGAGCCCCATGAAGGATGGCACGGGCTGCTATGACCGTCACGTTGGTGTGGACTGCTCGGATGGCTTCAACGGGGGCTGTGAGCAGCTGTGCCTGCAGCAGATGGTCCCCCTGCCCGAGGACCCCTTGCTCTACAACATCCTCATGTTCTGTGGGTGAGTGCCCCGTCACCGTCCCGGCCACAGGGACACCCCCGAGGTGCTGCTCTACCTTGCTGCTGCCACCCTGAGCTCATAGGGTTGGGTGGCTTGCGAGGGAGGTCTCCTCCACCCCTGGTGTTCCTGCTGGGCCTGGTGGCCCCTGTCCCCACTGGTGGGGGCTGCAGTTGATGGTGGACCCCGTGCTGGCTTCCCAGGTGCATTGAGGACTACAAGCTGGGCACGGATGGGCGGTCATGCCAGCTGATCTCAGAATCGTGCCCCGAGGCGGGGGACTGCGGCGAACCCCGTGAGCTGCCCATGAACCAGACGCTCTTCGGGGAGATCTTCTACGGTTATAACAACCACTCCAAGGAGGTGGCCGCGGGGCAGGTGCTCAAAGGGACATTCAGGTGAGTTGATGTGAGGGGGTGACCCCAGCAGGGCCAGACCTTGCTGTCCTCTCTAAGAATAAGGTGTTTGAAGCAGCCTGGGGCTGGACCTTAGCAGACTGCCTGGTCCATCGATGTCCAGCCAAGCTTTGAAGGAGATGGAGGGTCTGGTGGGGAGGGCACATCTGAAGCTTCCCATCGAGGGTAGACATTGTTGTAACCCATGTCCTAAGGAAAGGTTTGGTGCTGAGTGGCTTTTTGGGATGGATCACCGGCTGGTGGGGATGATCCCAGGCAGTTCCCCTGTCCTCCAGCCCTGCCCTCCTCTCTGCAATTAAATTCCAGGCAGAACAACTTTGCCCGAGGCCTGGAGCAGCAGCTGCCGGATGGGCTGGTGGTGGCCACGGTGCCCCTGGAGAACCAGTGCCAAGAGGAGCTCTCCGACCCTGCTCCCGATCCAGAGTTCCTCACTGGTGAGTGTGTCCGGCCGGACCAATACCTTTCCCAACGGGGCAGCTGCCATCATGCCCAGCTTTGGTACCTACCCCTCCCAGGGGATATATCTGCCCTGGCATATGTCTAGTCTGGCTTTAGCATTATGCACTCACCTGCAGCAGCAGCAGCAGCAGCAGCAGCAGTAAGAGAAACGCATTAAATATGAAGCAGAGGGAGAGGCTGAAAATTTATTGTGTGGTGTAAAAGCTCAAGCATCCATTGGATATTTGGATTATTTGCAAAAAGGTTTGGTTTTTTTTTTGTTTTTTTTTTTTTATTTTATTTTTATTCAAGGCAAAAAAGGTTTCCAAGCACCTTTCATTTGATTTCCAAATCAGAAACCCTTTGCTGCCATAATGAAGCATTCAAAACCTGCCCCAATGAAACCAAAATATTTTGGTTTGTCCAGCCAGAGCCTTGTGGGCCATAAGTGACAGGTCTATTCCTAGACAGCCTTCAAGGATTTACCTTTCTTCCACCCAGTTGCTAGTACCACTAAATAGCCTTTGTTTCCTCGGTGCTTGTTGCTGTTGACTGATATGGCCGAGGACACCGGGTAGTTGCTAAATATCGCTAAATATACTTACTACTACGTGGATAATGAGGTGTTTTGGGAGATGTTTGCAGGGTGGCCTCATACAGGACCTTGTGTAAACAATCTGTTTGGAAGAGCTGCCATGAGGGTTCTGGGGAGCACCCATGGGCTGCACCCAGGGCCCGATGGGTGCTGGTTGCCCCAGCGGGGTGCGTGGCAATGCAGGGGGGTGTGCAAGCAGATGCAGGTAGGGAGGAGGGTGCTGGCAGGTCCCAGGAGGGCTGAGGTTCCCTTGGGGAGCCACATCAGCGGGTCACCCCTGCAGCCACTGGGGACGCCTGGGGGTGCTGGAGGACACCTGCCTCCCAAGGGGGCTCTGCCTGTCCTCTCCGCTGCATTGACTTGGTTACGCGGATGTAACGACGGTGGCACCACCATGGCCTCAGCATCACGGTGGGGTCGGTGGGGCTGGGACTCTGCTGGCAATTATGCCAGGGAGACTGTAGCCAGTAAATTATCCTGTTCATTTTCCGCTGCTCTGCTGGCTCTCTGTGGCTGATTAAGGAAAAAAAAAAAAAAAAAGGAAAAAAAACCCCAAAACCACCAACAACAACAAAAAACACACAAAAAAAAACCCAAAACAAAACAAAAAAAAAACACAAAAAAAAAGGGAAAAGAAGTAAAATCTCTGCTTGTCAGTAAGCAGATCTGGATATTGCTGTGAATACACGAGAGGCAGGCAGAGCTGCTGAGTAAGGAAGGGCTGGTTTTGCATAAACACTTTGAAAGGAAGAGCGAGGCTTTGAAGCTGTTGGTAGCAGCAAGCATCGAAGGGAGAGGCACTGGAAGGCAAAGGATCTTATCCTCCTTATCCTCTGCCTCCATTTCTTGTTACAGAGAGGAGGATGCCCGTTGTTATCCTCCTGAACTCCTGCTGCGTGGCTGTTTGGCAGCAGAGCTTGCCGCTCCGCTGCCGAGCGGAGGCGTGCCGTGCTGGCTGTCGGGCAGCGGGGCTGCGAGGGAGCGGGAGGCTGCGTCCCGGCATCCTGCCGCAGCCAACCGAGGGATGCTCCGCTCGCCCAAATCAGAGCCATGAGCACCCTTCAATTCCCTTTTGGGGGCTTTCTCCAAGGCTCGGTGGCCTCTCTGTCCCTCTGTTCATGGAAGCTGAGCCGTCATGCTCCTTGGCTTGTGCCTCGGGCAGGATGAAGTGGCTGCCCAGCCCTCGTCTCCACGAATTTCTGCCTTCCATAATGTGCAGTTCAGTGGCTGGAGAATGGGATGCCTTCGCCTGGAGGATGAGAAACGCCACAACCTGCTCAGCCCCAGCATTGCCATAATGTCCCGAGGGAACATGAGCATTGACGGGCGTGCAATTTCCCCCTTATGCATGTATCTTGCTCTGCTCAGTCCTGGCCAAAGGGGACCTGGGGCCTCTTGGTTGGGCACGCACGGCGTGACGGTGACCGTTCCCAGGCCTGCAAACAGCTCATTAAAAAGCGCAGCTCTCATTAGTGAAATAATTAGCACACCTGGGTATGTCTTGCAAGCAGGCGCTGGGAAGGAAACAGGAGGGGATGCAGGAGGCTCATTATCTTCCGACGCAGAGTCCCGGATGGCAGGATGAAACGAGCCCATGTGTTTTCCTTCAAAGCCATGATTTTAATTGCTGGGGAGCAGCTGACCCTTGGCTCTGAATGCCTTGCTGACTCCCTGGGTGGTCATGGTGTGCGCACAGTCCTTTTCCCCCAGCTTCTTCCTGCCCCGCTGGCTGCATTGCCCCAGGGGCTGCAGCCATCCCCACGGCAAGGCATCCCTGGGCAGTGATGCTGAGCCCCCCTGTCCTTTCTCTGGCAGGGATGGTGAACTTCAGCGAGGTGTCTGGGTACCCCCTCTTGCAGCACTGGAAGGTCCAGTCCGTCATGTACCACGTCCGGCTCAACCAGCTGACCATCTCCCAGTGTAAGCGTGCGGGGCTGGGGGGGACGGAGGGAAAAAGGGGTGGTGAGAGGACCCAGAGCCTTCTTCTGGCAGGTGATGGGCTCAGAGCTTGGTTGCCCACTGTAAGTGTGTAGGGAGGTGACGAGGGCTTGGGGGTCCTCTGGAGCCTGAGCACCTCCTCCCATCTCATCCCCAGCTTTCAGCAATGCGCTCCACTCTCTGGATGGGGCCACCTCCCGTGGAGATTTCGTGGCACTGCTGGACCATTTTGGCAACCACTACATCCAGGAGGCAGTGTACGGCTTTGAGGAGTCCTGCTCCATCTGGTATCCCAACAGACAGGTTCAGCGGCAGCTCTGGTTGGAGTACGAGGACATCAGCAAAGGTAGGAGCCCTGCTCATCCCCAGAAAGGGTCCCCACAGCCACCCCATGGGAACAGGAATCTGTTTTTTTTTTTTTTTTGGTATAGCAGGGAAAGTGCCCAGCCTGTGTCAGGGCTGCATCCCATCTCACCCTCTTATTTACACCCCACTCTCTCACCCTTCTAAGCCAGCTGAAGGAGTCCTATGGATGGCAGCAGGCGTTAGTCCAGGCTAGAAAGGAAGATAAATACCCACATCCCCAGGGAGATGAAAGACGAATGCACTAATCCCACCAAGCCATCCTGCCTGATTCTGGACTTAACTGTTATTTGTCTTTAATCCTGCTCCTTCCTTCCTTTTGTCTCTGCCATATCTGCTCTCTTCCACTCACAACCCGCGGCCAGACTTTTCTCCCTCTAATGTGTTTTCTTCTGCCGGGCTGTCAACGCTGTGTTTTAATATCTGAAAACCAGTTATGAACTGGGAGGTTCACTATGGTGCAGAGGGCATCCAGCACTGCTGCATCCCCTCTGGTGCCCTCGCTGCAGAGAGTTGCGACAGATCCCTGGTGGAAGGGGTTTTGCAGGGAGGCGATGGCAGGTTTGGACGCGAGCTTTCCAAAAGCAGGGGCAGCCTAATGCCTGCCTGCTGCTGGCTGTCACCGGGACCACGGCCTCTCTTGTGCCTGGCCTTTGCAAAGCTGCCCGCAGGCATTTTGCTGACCGTGCTGGGGATGTTGGATTGCACCGCCCAGGCTTGGGCAGCGAGCAAGAGCCAGCTCCCAAGCTCGGAGGTGGGAGATGCCGAGCAGAGCTCCTGTTTTTTAGGTGACCTTGGTTTGCTGCCCTCTGCCCAGAAGCTCCCGGGCACAGGCAGCGTGAGCTTGGAGCTCACCGCCGCAGCGTTTCCGTCGTGAAGCTTCATAATTCTCAGTATTGGCACCAGCTCTACTGTGCTGCTCTTGCTGTGCCTCGGCCGTGAAGACATTTGTTTTCTCTCCAGGGCTCTTGTGTGGGAAAGGCTTCTCTGTGAGCCTGAGTCTGGATCCTGCGGGCTCAGACCTCCTGGAGCCTGGACTTCTTCCCGAGCCCACCTGCAAGAGTACAGACCAGTTGCTGTTTTGCTGTGGGCTGTCTCCAGATGTAGCATCTTTTGATTGCAAGTACTTTTTTTTTTTTTTTTTTTTTTTTTTTTCTGCTGCAATTTCCTCCTCTTTGATTTTTCTGCTTGGAGGCTTTTCAGGTCTGGCAGTCTCTTTCCACCCACAATATCACATTTCGGTTTCGCTCTGGCACCTGCCACTTTCCCTCCTTTGCGTTTTGTTTGCAAACGTCAGGAGCTGGATATCGATTGAGAAATTGCAAGAGACAAATCATTCCCTGGCTCCTCTGCTTCTCCTCAGCGCCTGCTAAGCTGCAATTCACAGCCAGCCCAAAGCGATCCATTTCCAGCTCGCTGGGGGAGCGGAGCAATGCTCTTGTATCCCGGGTCTTATTTAACAGCCTTGTTTTCTTTGCAGGAGTCTCGAGGATAGGCTAGCACTGGCCCATTTCTCAGCAAACCCTTGCAATAGCAAGATCTTCCCATTGAGCCGTGGACGTGCTCTCCGGCGGCTCCATGCAGCAGCCAGCCCCTACTAAACCACCGGCAGCGATGCCCTGAGCCTGCCCCAGGGGTGAGGCTTTGCCTGAGCATCTCTTGGCTGCCTCTGACCTCACCAGCCTGCCCTGACCATCATCAATTGTCCTTTTTGGGCCCCTCTCTTGGTGCAGAGCCAGGGACGTCCTTTAGTAGGACTTTTGGGTGAAAAACACCGTTCCCCTGCGTGGCAAGGCTCGCAGCGGCAGGGTGATGCTAGCCAGGGCACAGCAGCGACGGGCAGATTCTACCTTCTTGACTGCTGTGCCAAGACTTTTTTCCTTGTGTCAAAATATTTCCCGCTGTGGGAGCGCTGGAGCAAAGCTCACCAAGTGCAGAGTCTGGCTCAACACCCTGTGTGGTGGGGACACGGCGCACCCAGCACCAGGCACCTGTGCACACAGCTGGGAGAAATGTAGCCCATGGCAATGCTTTCCTGCTGAAAACCTTTTTTCCGAGCCTGTTGGGTTGCAGGGTTGCCTGAGGTTTGGTTGGGTACGACCTGCAATTATTCTCCCATGTGCACGTGGCAGAAGGAGCCTTCAGCCTCTTCACAGTCGTGTGGGGGGGGTCTGCAGTCTTGACGAACGTATCTGCCTCCATCTCATAATTTTCTTTTGCTTCGTGGCGGTGCTTTGTAAGCTAAGCCCTTAGGGAGAGACCCTACTTCCTTGCCCAGCTGCAACTTTGCCCACTTCCATCATGCCCCATGATAGCGTGAAGAGACAAGAGGAGCCAGACTTGAGCCAACTCCCAAAATGGAACTGCTCCCCACCTCCCTTCCTCTGTGTGGGGATGGAGTGCAGAAAGGGGTGGAGAGGCTGGAGAGGGCCTTGGTGGATTTGCAGCCATCTCGGGAGCTTTCTGGGCATCACAAGGCATTGGCAAGTCTTCCCTGCTCATTCTGAGCTCTTCGGTGCTGCTGGCTAAAGACCTTTGTGTGGGGGGTTGGTGGAGCACCAAGTCAGCATTGTTGCTGTGCACTCTGGTCTGACACTCCTCCTCTCTGGTCTCCAACATGCTCTGTCACATCAGCTTTGATGAGGGCCCTTGGGAACCGAGGGAGTCAAGCATAGAAATCAGCTGTTGGGCCAGGAGGGTTTTTGCAGTGGAGTGGCTTGGCAGGGGGCTTTGGTGGAACATGGGTGTGGGATGAAGGTGCCCAGGCAGGTCGGGTCCTTCATGAGTTTCCAGCCACATGACGGAGGCTCCCTCTCGTGGGGACCTGCTGCAAGGGTGGGCTGTCCCTGTGCCAGGCGAAGGGATGGGGCTGGGGAAACTGAGGCATGGGGAGACAAAAGGACCTGCGATGGTAGAGACCAGGGTAGGCTTTTCATTTCTGATTCCTCCTCCGGAGACCAGCGAGGATTTCATCCCTACAGAGCAAAGGGGGAGCTCTTAAGGATACAGAGGGGTCCCTGGACAGCACTGCCTCTCTCCTGGGTGGAAGGCAGGGCTCTACCCATCTTGCATCCCCCTTAATGATGGTTTGGAGCCCACCCTGGTGCCCCTCTTTTCCCCCTTCCCCAGGCAACTCCCCCTCAGACGAGTCAGAGGAGCGCGAGCGGGACCCCAAGGTGCTCACCTTCCCCGAGTACATCGCCAGCCTCTCCGAGTCAGGCACCAAGCGCATGGCCGCCGGCGTGCGGATGGAATGCCAGAGCCGTGGCCGCTGCCCCTCCTCCTGCCCACTCTGCCACATCGCCTCCAGTCCCGAAGTGCCGGCTGAGCCCATCCTGCTGGAGGTCACCAAAGCGGCCCCCATCTACGAGCTGGTCACCAACAACCAGACCCAGCGGGTGAGGAGCCGCTGTCTGGGAGTGGTGGGGTGGGCATGGAGGGGTGGCAGGACAGAATCGGGGTGGTCTTTGCAGGCAGCTTGTCCTAGTAGCATCATGTCAAGCCGCGGCAGCCCTTGCTTGTTGGCCAGCCCTGCTCTCCAGGGTGGGTGGACCATGCTGAACCCACTAAGGGATGGATGAGCGCCGACTCGAGTGGTGGCAGGATGGAAGCTCACCTGCCCAGTTCTCAACCCCTTTTCCCCTCTGTCAGCTCTTGCAGGAGGCCACCATGAGCTCACTGTGGTGCTCGGGTAGCGGGGACGTCATCGAGGACTGGTGCCGCTGCGACTCGAGTGCCTTCGGGGCTGATGGGCTGCCCACCTGCGCACCTCTCCCGCACCCCATGTAAGTCTCCGTGTGTGCCCAGCCTGTCCTCTTGATGTGATGGGTCTAGGAGGAGGTGGCGATGGCCAGTGGTGTGGTGGCAGGAGGTGGTGGGACTGGGATGGTTTTATGGGACAGATTTGTAAGTGGGTGGGGGACCTGGAAATCAGGCAGATAGTGCAGAGATACAGTATCTTTTCTAAATTCAGCTGAGGACGGGGGAGCTGGTTTTGCATCCATCCTGGTAGAGCAACCCCAGGGTAGGAGCCCTTTGGACCAGCATGCCCAGAGCCAGGAGGGGTAGGAAAAGGGGATTCACTTCTCTCCTGAGGTTGCTCTCTCCCATGGGTTAATGGCTTTGAAGCCCTTTTGCCTTGAGAGAGTAATGCAAAAACAGTCCCTTCATACTACCTTACAGAAACCAACTAACTTCTGGTGCATTTGCATGTGGCCTGCGCAGCAGAGCGAGTGACACTGTCAAATGCACTCGTGCTGCCTTTTGCACCAGCCACGGGGACTGGCTGGAGAGGTTGTCCTCAGCATCCCTCCCATACCGTGAGCCTCAGCGTGGTGGGTTTGATGCCTTTTTAAGGCACAGAGGAGCAGCAAGGCGGTGATAGACATGGGTGAGGGTGAGCGTGGGTGGGTGGTGGGGACGGCTGGCAGACCTCGCCCTCCTGAGATGCTGACCGGTCGGCATTTCCCTCCAGCCTGCGGCTCTCCACCATTCACGAGCCCAGCAGCACGCTGGTGGTGCTGGAGTGGGGGCACTCGGAGCCCCCCATCGGAGTGCAGATCGTCGACTACCTCCTCCGTCAAGAGAAAGTCACCGACAGAATGGACCACTCCAAGGTGGAGACAGGTGAGTGGGGATTCCACTGGTTCTCAGTGTGGGATGGAGATGTTAGAGGGGAGCCTCTGACTCTCTCTTTGCAAGGGGATGCTGGAACATATCCAGTAACCCGTGGTAGAGAAAGCAGCCCCTCTCCTGCCCACCATGCCACAGAAGTGGCAGCTCCACGCTATGGTGTTGAGCCTTGCTGGAAAAGCGATGAGTCCATCTCTGCACCAAACCCCTGCATGAGCCTCGGTCCCCCTCGGCACCAGGCAGCATGGTAGAGGGCGCAGACCTCGGCGGTTCTCCACATGCCTGGGGACGCCTGTGTCATCACCCGCAGTGCATCCTCCCCTCTCTCCCTAGAGACGGTGCTGAGCTTCGTGGATGATATCATCTCCGGCGCCAAGTCACCCTGTGCCATGCCGGCCCAAGTGCCCGACAGGCTCTCGTCCACCATCTCCCTCATCGTTCGCTGCCTGGAGCCCGACACAACCTATATGTGAGTTGCCTCCCCCAAACCGTGCCTGTGGGATCGTTGTTGCCCCGACCATGGTGCTCCTGCCTGATGTTGCCTGTGTTTGCATGAGGTCTCGGGAGTCCAGAGCTTCACCTTTTTCCTTCTCGGCCAGGTTCACACTCTGGGGAGTCGATAACACAGGAAGACGCTCCAGGTCCAGTGATGTGACAGTCAAGACCCCCTGCCCTGTGGTGGACGATGTGAAAGCTCAAGGTGAGATGGAGGACATTGCTGGACTGTGGTGCTTGGTACCAGAAGGAGTTCCCCCCTCCCAGCATGTCCCCATACACATCTCATGTCTTGGCTGCAACATCTCCTTCACCCATGGTCGCTCAGGTGCTGCCACATGGTGTTGAGGGTTGGTGTGGAGGGTGGCAGCAGGCACACATCCTTGCTGCAAAAAAAGTCAGAGGCACTCTGTGCTGATGGAGGAGTGGGAGGATGAGTGGAGGCACAGGCATTCAGGACATGCCAAAATAGCCAAGAAGACCTGCTTGTCCTGCCCAGAAAGCAACTGGTAGTGTAGGTGGTGGCTGTGCTCAAGAAATCCCAACTGTGTACTTTCTCGTAAATAAATAGTATTTCACTAACAGTACGTGATGATACCACATGCCTCTCCTCCTAATTGGACCAAATTACAGGAATCTAACCCAGAATGAGTCCAGGGAATGCCATCTACACTGTTGCTTCTCCACTGGGACCTTGTCTTGATATGATGTAAATCATAATTTGGGGAAACAAATCTTGTCTCTGGTCTTGCTTTACCGAGAGCTGAGCTTTAGCCTGGTCAGCTTTCTTCATGTCTTTCCTTGCACCCCACCGAATACCTTCTGTCCTTCTGCCCAGAAATAGCAGACAAGATCTACAACCTCTTCAACGGCTACACCAGTGGCAAGGAGCAACAAACAGCCTACAACACTCTGCTCGACCTGGGTTCCCCCAGCCTGCACCGAGTCCTCTACCACTACAACCAGCACTATGAGAGCTTTGGGGAGTTCACCTGGCGCTGTGAAGATGAGCTGGGTCCCAGGTAGGCTTGGGAGATGGGTTGGCTAGGCAGGCAGGCCTGCCCGCCATCAGGCTTATCCCTCGTTTGTCACCGGGAAGGTGGCTCTCTGGCAAATCTCATTATTTTGTTTGATGATAGAGCTTAGAGGCTCACAGAGGAGTTCCCGTTTTGCTGGATGCTGTGCATATATTTGGGGGTCCAACCATCTCTCTTGAAGGACTAGAAACATAGGACAAGGTGGAAGGCGGTAGACCATTGTCAACCCACCATCCTTGTCCATCCCACCAGCCCTGTACTGTCTCTGAAGTTTTGCCTAGTCTGTTCATGCTGTGCAGCGTGGGAAGGGGATGGGATTCTCTTTTTTTTCCCCTCATTAGCTGCTTCCACAGGCAAAAGGTCAGAAGGTCTTGGAAAAATAATGCACCTTTAAGGAACGGACATTGTTGCGGGTGAGAAGGAGGGGGAGTGTGGTCGAACATGTTCCTAGGGAAGGGAACCAGGCACTGACGGAGGGAAGAAGGTGTAAGGAGGTGGTTGTACCTTCAAGCCTGCTGGAGAAGGTGACACAGAAGAGCTTGGCTATGGAAGCTGCTGGATGACGTGTTCGTGCAAACACACATACATGTGCTGGGCCATGCAAAGGTCAGATTTGGCTTTCCTCCTTTTCCCGGGCTTTATCTTGAGTTGAATGCACCTCCGTGTGTTGAACTCACTGTCACTTGTGGTCCAAAGCAGGCAGTGGATTGACCTTGGGTCTGAATTGCATGTGTTCTCTCCCTTTTGATCCATGACTGTGGTCAAGTGGGGTGATTTCAGGGACACGAGTGTTTTTTGGTGCCCAGGTGGTGCTGAGCTGCCATGGCAGGGTCTGGAGGTGGTTGCCCTGAGCTCCTCCTGGCTGAAACAGTCCCTTCATGCCTGAATGAGCACCGTGTCCTCTCCTCAGGCTCCTCCAGGTCTCTGCAGCCCCTCTAGCTGCCTGGGGATGGGGTTCCCCATGCCCCGGGCTTGAGGAGGCAGCCAGATGTTCCCTTCTCCCCATGTCCACAACATCTGCTTTTGTCTGCGTGACTTCCCAGTAACGTGGATGTTTCCAGTCAGTTTAGCAAGCTGGGCTGGGAGACTGTGTGGGCTGCAGTGGTGTTTCACAGCATCTGGGCTCCAAAGAACTGGAGCCTTGACCCCGTCCGGAAATCGGGATTACTTCAAATGTACGTCAGCAACAGCTCCCACCTATGAAATGCATGACCTCCACCTTCCCCTCTGTTCCACATCTCCTTTTGCTGGTCTCACCAGCCCTGCTGCTCCAGGTAATCACTTGTGGATTTCTAGCAGAGGATTGGAGATCCTCTGCATACCTTCTGTGTCCTCCAAAATTCTGCTAGGTGGTCAGAAAGACTCACCAAATAACTGGCCGTTGTCTTGCACTTAGTGTCTTAGGCATGTCTCCTAGTTCAGTTTCAGTGGGAAACTCCTAAGAGATCCTTCACGCCCTAGGGAATAGCTGGGGTCTCTCCTCTTTCCTCTCTCCCCTTTTCCCAGTTATGTTCTGAGAAATGTGAGTTCTTTGAGGCACTGCCTCAAAGCTTAGTAGCGACATCCCAGTTCATGGAGTCTTGTTAAGGCTGAGGCTCCCACCGGCTCCTCTGCCCAGGGTTGCTTCATTCCCATGACACCGAGTGGGATCAGGATGCTTGGACTTATGTCTCACCTTCATCTTAAGCCCAGCTGTGGTGATGCCGCTCTGTCTCCATTTCCAGATGTGAAATCCAGCCCCGGTTTGTACAGACCATCTGACATCTGTTGTGATGATTTGCATGCAGAGTACATAAAATTTCTTACGTGACAGACCGGAGTCGTCACACAGCCACTGCCATCACCGAGGCTGAGCATTGCTGTTGCTGCTCGCTGCCTCAGTGAGGAGACCAAGGACTAGCCAGAACATGGGGTGGAAGCTGCCTCCTCGAGCCCCACGCAGCAGAGGTGAATTAGCATGGAACAGCCAGAAATGCCACTGAATTGCCCAAATGTTACCATTTGCTGCCTGTATCTATGAGCCAGAGGGTTAATTCCACCCTCTGGAAATGCTAGAGCGCTTAGGATGGGATGACGCAAGTTGCTGATGAAGTGTTTGCAGCTTGTGCTACTTGGAAAGAGACATTTAGGGCAGATGCAGCGGGTTCTGGTGATGACAAATCTTGGAAAGCAGACCTCCTGTTTGATCGTCTGCGAGGGCGAAGCATCCAGACTGGTGGTGACAGGACAAATCACTTGCAGATGACATTATTTAGCCAGCAGACAGAGTGTTTGTTTGACTGTTGCTGATGCTCCTTTGAAGTCCTGGATGTGGACCCATGCGACTGACTCTGCCGTGTCCCTCCTCCTCCACGCGGCCATGCCACCTTCCAGCTCCGCTCACGTGGGGTGCGCTCGCATCCCTTCGTCTTGGGGACACTGGCTGCTGGGCTGAAGGAAACAAGGGGGTGTGGAGTTACGAAAGCGAGTCGCTCCCTCCCAGTCCGAGAAGGACTGCAGAGAGCCCTGGGCTCTGCATAAGGAGAAGAAATGGAGGGGAAGGCAAGTCATTTTCTAGCAAGTAATAAGTCAGTATAGGATTTGGTGCGAGGCCTGGTGAAGTCTGGTGGTGGTTTTGAGCCAAAATCTGTGGGATCATATTCAACATTCCTGCTAGGGTACCTGTGATGCTGGAGGAAGGCAGGCAGTCACAGCACCTTGCCTACATGTCTAGATGTGGGGACCAAGACAAGGGAGAGGTCAGCTACCTTCTCACAGCTGGAAGACCTGGCCAGCTTGGGTGGCTATCTCCAGAGTCAGCACCATGCTAAGCGCCTTCACCTCTCTGCTGTGCTCTGGATGTGAGCCCTGGGGCTGCAGGTATCACTTGGCTGCAGAGCTGGACAACCTCTCGGTGGGTCCAGACTGGCCCCTGGGAGCTGCATCCACCTCCGTGATGGACCTCTCGAGGGTTTCCTCTGCAGGAAAGCCAAGGGTGGCTCTGCCTGGGCCTGGGGTAAATTAATTCCTCTCCAAGCAGCTCTCCTATGGCGCACTTGACCTGGAGGAAGGTGTGGAGCGGCTGTGGATGTTCCTCTGTGGTTGGTACACATACCCTTGAGCTGTCAAACTAGCCACAACACAGCCACGTGCTCCACACAAAACCTCTGCTTATCCAAGTAAGAATGTGACAAAGGGTTGTTTTTTTTTTTTTTCCCTAGCATCACAATTAGTGTCTCTGCTGCCTGTTCTCTGCTGAACAGATGCTGAGTTAAAGCTACCAAGGGGATGTATCTTTTCTTCCCTGTCTATACTAACCCACCAACTGCCCTTGAGGCTGGGTAGGGAACTTATCCCAGATCCTGAGACACTTAAACTTTTGTCTGGGTTTCCAGGCACATGTGATACTCACCTTCAAGATGTTTCATTTGAATCCGTTACCTTCACATTTGCCGGATTCCCTGGAGATCACCCAGAGTGCCAGACAAATCTAAAATGAACATAATGTGTTTTATCCGAGCAAACTGTTTTCTTGATAAAAGCATTAGGAGCACAATTTTAAGAGGAAAAATGTGAAAAGAAGAGAACACGCTTTAGGTCATGTTTGGCCAGGATCCTCTGTGCTCTTCCAATATCTCACCTAATACGAAGGGTTGGTAATTTAGCGCTCTCTCGCTACCAGAACAAGCCCCCACCAAATCAGTGTTGCCCTGGGGGGTGCTGCATGTCTGTCTTCTGCTGAAGATGGATTCTTCCTGCACCTCCTCTCCCTCTGTCACCCAATCTTCTCTCCTGGTTTCCTTGGCTGGGCTGTGGCACTTTACAAAGCACCACTGCTGTGACCTGCCTTTCCTTGTTTTGCTCTCTGCAACTGGAAGATGGAAAATGTACCTGCGAAGAACTGGGGAGCTCCGTTATGTCCCCAGCTCTCTGAGCTTTTTGGATCAGACCTGGGTTGCATGCCTCAGTATATTAATTCCTTCTAGTTTGCACACTGTCCTGTGGGACACGTTTCCTAAACTGTTACTAAATATTACAGGTCATGTACCAAGAGTGTCATTCATTGTACTTATATCTTGTGATATTACATCTTATGAGGATCATAATTTTTATCTCACCTTCAGCCATCCATACAGACCCCCACAGGCCAGACATGATATTTTGAGTGGGTTTTTTTCCCTAAATCTCCTTCATGCTCAGTGGTGTCCTGGCATGCTGGCTCCCAATACTGTGCATTTCTTCTCTATCACGTCCCCCTCAGCCACATGACAGCAAGGATGCTCCTGGCATGCCCACCTTTTCCCTGACATTCCTGCCCTGTCACTGGACGTGTCCTATACCAAGCCATGAATGACCACCACAGTTCCCAAACATACAACACATGCAATTCATGGAGAGCACACACATGGTGACACTGCCCTGGGCTGGTCACATGTGTCATGCCTGACACCTTTTAGCATTTCTTCCTGCTGCCTGCAGTGCTTTTGGCTCCCACTTTCCCATCCTGCTATATTTGGAGTCCAGTAGCTGCAGCAGTGACTAGTGCTGCCATTTGAGTTGTCGATGAGGTCCATCTCAAGGGGTGTTGGGGGTTTCACAGCTACACTCATGACTGTCCCCTCACTAAACCCTCAGCAAACCTAGCCTTGTTGTGGCGATGATGTGGGGTGGAAGAAGATGAGGACAGGGCAGGGAAGAGTAAGGTGAGTCCCAAGACCAGTGCAGCAGGTCCAGCACCACCGTGGTGGCATGGGCATCTCTGACCCAGGCAGGGGCAGGTCTTGCATGCATTTAGGCTTGTAGTGCTGCCACGGGGCTGGCATGTCCCCCAGCCCTGCCGCCCCTCTTCATCCTGGCAGCATCAGGCTCTGCTCAGCTGCTCTCCACACCGTCCAACTCTTGCCTTATCTCTTCTCCCTCCAGGATCTCCCGTGGTGTCCTTAACCATCTTTGCTTTTCTCTCCTCATACGCCCATCCTGCCATCCCCCCTGTGGTGTCTCCATCCCCTCCCGCCGCTCCCTCGCTGTCCGTGTCCCCCCTCCCGGCACCTCCCCATGCCCGCCCTCACTGCAGGAAGGCTGGCCTCATCCTCTCGCAGCTGGGGGACCTCAGCAGCTGGTGCAATGGCCTCCTGCAAGAGCCCAAGATCAGCCTCCAGCGCTCATCCCTCAAATACCTCGCCTGCCGCTACAGTGAGATCAAGCCCTATGGGCTCGACTGGTCGGACCTCAGCCGGGACCTCAAGAAGACGTGCGAAGAGCAGACACTGAGTGTCCTTTACAATGACTATGGTGACAAAGACTACTGAGGGTTGAGGGTGCCCGCTCTCACATTGGCCCTCCCACGGGCGTTTGTGAGGGTTTTATACACGGACCCATGGAGGGGGGGAGGGTGTCGCTGATGTTTCTGGAGGCAAAAATTTGGACCGGGGAGTGAAACCAGCTGCTCTGTGCAGGACTGACTCAGTATTAGTTTATTCTTTGACTTGGCCAAAAGCCTTTCTAGCTAGAAGTCTTGTGGGACCCAGTTTTCTTGGTTTTGTTTTATTCATTTTGCCAAGAGGTTCCTCAGCATCAGTGGAGAGGGCAGGTTGGGAGGTCACAGCCCTCTCCTCCTGCCCCATCCCTGCCCTGGCTGTGGGGACCGTCCCCAAGGGTGGGGGACACCAGTCACGAGAGAAACACTGTGACACAGCCGGGACGGGAGAGCAGGTGATGCAGGGTTGGGAAAATGGAGGCAGGGCATGCAGGTCAGGCCGAGATGCTAATGGTTATGGCTGAGCAAATGAGCAAAACAGCCACTGGATGGCCAAGAGGGTTGGGATTTTTTTATTTTATTTTATTTTTTTGTAATTCTAAAGCATAAGATCTGGATGAGACCTGGCCAAGCAGTGGTGCTGTTGCAGGGCAGAGCTGGCGTGGTGTCAGCAGCTGGGGTGAGGAGAGAGGGGCACTGGTGAGCCCATCTTCTCAGGTTCTTCTGTCACGGCCAAAGCCTGCATCTGCTCCAAGATGCAGAGTCCTCCAGAGCAAAGGTAGCTTGGCCTCAGGGCCAGTGGTCAGCTGGACATCATGAGCTTTCTTCTTGTGGGACCACATTCTTAGGAAGTCAACTTAAAAATCCCTTCTGTTATTCTTAATTTGTTTTTTTACCCACCATAATAAAGACTTTGAAGCAATGTCAAACCACCACTCAGGAGACCCCCAGCCAAGAGAGCAGCACCCAGACGGCACAGAGGAGGCTGCCTTCTGCACCAGCCACCCTGTAGCCCTGGCCCAGCCTGGGCTCCACATGGCAAGGGGAACGGGGTGTAGCGTACCCCAACGCGGCAGTGCAGGATGGTCCTGGAGGTCCTGGTCCCAGAGGGGGCTCGGTGACACGGCGTGGTGGGCAGGCTTCTGGAGGTGTTACTTGCCTGTGTTCAGGCTCACATCTGCAGCTCTCACCGGTGGTTTCTTTTTTTAAACCAGAAAACTGGGGTTGTCCTGGGACACTGGGCTTGGTTCAGAGCAAACTGTTCTCCAATACCCTGTTACCACTGACAGTGTTGGAGGCAGCAAACAGCTTCCTTTTAGCTTCAGCTTCCAGCCTGGTTTGCAGAGGAGGCATCTCTGGACTTGCCAGTTGTGCACCTTTGATCTGGACAAGCCAGGAGCCCTACAGTGGGATTTTTATGATACGTCTTCAGAGAGAAATTTCCTTTTCATTTTTTCAGCCTTGGCAGGAGCAATCTTCGGCCTGTCTCTTACAATTTTCTGCCTCATTCCTCCTTCTACCTGCCAAGGACACAGCTCGAATATTTGTGTGGTGCTGAGTGGGAAGCGGCTGTGGTCTGCAGCCAGTCACAGCCGACAGCGCTGCAATACAGTATTTGCTCTACAGCAGTTCAGTATTTTCCCACCAGATGACACAGTGCTTTGCTCTTCCCTTCTCGCAGGCAGAGCTCTCCTTTAGGGGCAGCTTCTCTGGTCTGGAGAGCTGCTGGGAGCAGCCACCATCAGTCAGTGTTACCTGGGCATCCCCGTGCCATTTCCGTGATGAATGTGTCTAGCAGGGGTCATCAGGCAAATGTCTTCTCATTGGAATAAGGAAGTCTACTGGATCCTTTTGGCTTTTTCTCATATGTTTTTCCTTATATTTTGATGTGCCTGATGCTGCCAAGGGCTTGGGGGTCAGAGCAAGACCATCCCCTTCTCCATGTGGAGGTATACGTGGGCAGGTAATCCGTACCGAGCCGTTGCTCCTTTTTGTTTCAGTCACCGGCAGTCTTGGCCAAGACACTTTGGTTTATCCTCTTGCTTTTCCCAGAGGATGCTGAGAAAACTTTTAACTTCCAGCCAGGCAGCCATCCAGGGATGGGCAAAGGGCACCTCTGCTCAAAGCCTCGGAGGGATGCTTGAACAAAGACTGCTCTGGCCCAGATGCAAGTTGGTTGCTCGCCAAGTAATACCGCTTACGTGGCCTTTATATGAAACGCAGACTGTTTTCCTTTGGGTAGCAGACTCCTCTCTTTTATTACTTACTAGGTGCAGCAGCAGGGATGGGAGCGGTTCAGTCTGCCAGCCACTCGCTACAATGCTGCCAGGAAAACCCTGGACATCCCATGCGTTCACACCTGCCTAGGTTACTTTTTCATCCAGCCCTGAGATTTGTGCGGAGGCTCTGCAAAAATTTCTGTTCTGCTTCTGCACTCCTATGTCAAAGCCCTTGCGTGGTCAACCAAAACCCCACAACATCATCAGCCAGCTGGGCCGGACTCTGCTCCTGCTCAGCCCCAGCTTCCCTGTGGGCTGGGGGATGGACCACCCTGGAGGGAGAGGGGAAAGCCACCCATCCAAGGTCCTTTGGCAGCGCCCTTTCACAGTTGGACAGGAGTTGGCATCCCCATCCCATGACGGACCACGAATTCTGCTGCTGGGGCTGTACTCCGCTTGGTTGACTGCCGCGGCGTTGCCATTTTCACAATGGCCCTGGCTTTGTGGAAGCTTCCTTCTTGGTTTCTTTGCTCTGGTTTTGCAACTCAGAATTTTGCCCAAACTTGGATTTTCTTGCCAAGATCCCTCAATGAACACCTGAGCCCCTCTCAAATACCAGCAGCCTGCCGTGGGGGCCCAGATTGGAGCGGGGGGGGGGGGTTGCACCATGGCTGCAGACCTGGCCTTGGTGAGATGTGTTGTATGGGGCTTGCTCACCCGTAACAGTTGTGGGCGAGCCCTGAGATGTGCCCTTCCCTGCAGAGCTGACACCATCCCCATCTGCTGCAGGGTCCTACTGTTGGGTCTGCACAGTATTTTCTCTCTTGGACTCCTGGTTCTTCCCATGCTTCCAACCACATGAAAGGTGAAGAAGACACTGTTTTATGTCCACTTCTGCAACCTCCCTCGCCCCCATGCCCTCTCTTCGTGTTTTATTTCTGAATTAATGAGCGGTCATTCACCTGAGATGAACCTCTGGGTAGTTATCTTTTCTTTGCTGCACCCCTACCCCTGTAATAGCGTTACTACCTTTTACTTGTCGTGGAGTTATTTAACATATAAAGATGGTTTGGTCCTTTTCTTTACAAAGATGGCGGCAATTCATGTTCCTTGATGTTCTATTAAAACTCTAATGTGACGTTTTACTACTGTAGATTGAAAGTAGGGTGCTTTAGGGTGAGATAGCCATGTGGCAAGAAACACAAAACCCTTCCGGATTACTTAAAAAAAAAAAAAAAAAACAAAAAACCAACAAAAACAACAAAACGTTTTAAATGACAGCAACAACAACAACAAATAATCATTGTAACACTATGTAAAACTCCAGATGATAATTTAACTGACTATTAAAAGGAGCTGTTAGTAATCCGTGGCTCTGGCAAAGCGAAGTGTTTGTTTATAGTTTTGGTCCAGTTGATGTCATCTTTTGGTAGCGGATGAAACACTCCCAGCCTTTGAACTCTGGTGCGTCTTCACACACGTTTAACATTAGTCTGTCTGCCCACTGGGTTAGCCAAGTCCCAAACCACGCGGTACACGCAGCCGGAGACGTGTCCTGTGCCTCACCTTGCCTACCTGCTCTGTCAGGCACAGGAAGGTGCGGATGCCTGCGGGCACCTTTGGATTTGGAGGGAAAGACAGCATTTACACATCCTCGGCAAGGGGCTCTCAGTTCTTGCTTTGAAAACCTCCACAGATGCCGGGAATTTGGAAGCAGGGTCCAAAAAAGCTCATTTTATCCTGTTTTTTTTGCTATAAAAACTGGATGGGATGGTGCTGTCTGGTGGCCAACCCTTGAGAACTTCCTGGTCCATCTGGCAGACTTTTTCCAGAGGACTAGCAGTGTCACGAATATTAATGTCCTACAAACGGTGCAAAAATCAGTGCCTGAACAGAGGTGAGAGCTGCAAAGGATGCCTTAAAAGTCACTTACAGTTCAATGTTGTGTCTAATGCTCAGACCATCAACCCTGGCAGGGGCTCGCCCTTTGGCCAAGCCCGGTGTGTTTTGCCACCCACCCTGCCAGATGGGTGGGAGACCTGGGGAGAGGTTGGGGTTACTGCAGGCAGGCAGTCAGGATGCCTGGGAGGACACGGGAGAGGGGGGAATCAGCGGCTGTAGCACATGAAGCCATAGGAAACCAGACTTCATTAAGTCTCATGGAACAACTTGATTTTTATTTTTTTTTTCTCTTCCCACTACTAAATTGCAGGAAAATAAGCTAAAAATACACCCGGTACTTTCCTTCTGCTATTTTCCATGCAGTTAAGTGCTGTGGCTGCCACCAGCTCATTGCACAATAACCTGTGGCTGTGGAACGAGACGTGAGGAAGAGGAGGAGGAGGAAGAGGAGGAGAAAGAGGAGGAGATGGGCCATGTGATAGCAGGGTGCACAGTCACAAGCCTGGCCTGTTGTGTAAGAAAGGCTCGGCACAGCCGGCTCATCACACCTTCACCAGAGAAAAAACCTCAGCGGTGATCTGGCTTGCAACCTATGGGGTTTGGAGAAAGCCACCCCCAAAAAGGTGAAGTGGACCGTAAGGGATGCATCACCAGCACAACAGCAGCTTTTTAGGAAGGTTTTGGTGATGTGTGTGTGTGTGTGTGATGGAAGGGTTGCTGTTGGCCAACGGTCCCTCTTCACCCTCGGAAAGCAGGTACTGGCAGGGATCGCTGCATTTCAGCACATGCATGAATGACAGGGCAGCGCTGGAGCCCACACACAAGGCACCATGTCCCCATGGCCCTGGTGGCTGCCCCATTTCTTAATGGCTGGCTGTGTGGACTCCTCCATCGTAACAGCTGACAAAGCTTTTCAAATCTAGTTTGTGTTGCTGAAAGAGCCACCACCCTGCTCAACTGTGTGTCTTCATTGTCTTGGGGACGCAGGGGTTGGCATCTCTTGCCTTGAGGCTGGGTGTCTGGCAGAAAGGAGGGGATGGGATGGGAAAACAGCTCTTCAATTGGCTACTGCCACGGACAGCTGCTTTTTATCTTTTAAATGCAAGACATACAACTGGGGTCCTAGTTGCCTGGGGCTGTGGAGTCCCTTAATATGTTGTCTGTTGTGAGAGCAAATCTGGCCTTGGTGGAAGTGCATGATTTAGGAGCTTTGCCCCAGAGAAGACATCTGATGCCACCAGGAGATGATGTCCCTTCTCTGGGAAGAGATGAGAGAGTCCGTGGAAAGACCAGAAGCGGAAAGGCTGGTGCAGAGCAAAGGGAGGCAGGTGGCCATCAGAGATGGCTGGAAGAAGAGTGAGTGGGGTTTAAAGACAGGACAAGGGAAATCAAAGATAACGAAGAGGGAGATGTTAAGGGCATGTTAGAGGTTTTACTTCCATTTTCTCAGCCCATTGCTCCTCTCTAGGGCCCTTAATGCACTCATGTCAGCCCCACAGGAGGAAATTTGGGATTTCATTGCTTTCCATAGCCTTGGTGTTGTCCCTCGGGATCCAGCATCTCCCCCCCCAGTGTCCAATCCACTGCAGGAACTTTTGTTTTTCAGCTCTGTCCAATCTTTCCTTTTGCTCACCTTCTCTGTGACCCACCTTCTCCACCAGTTGTAAGGGAGGTGAGTGGCAAAGGAAAGAGGAATAGGTCCCAGGACATCTTTGGCCTTTTCAAACCCTGTCCTGAGCTGCAAAACAGCAAAGGGGCTCCTTGATGGACCATCTTGCCCCCGTCTGATGGGAGGAGAGGTTTGAAATGTCCCCAAAACTGGCCCACCAGAAACGCACCCCAGATTTTCTTAGCTGTCATTCATGTTTGTTTGCTCTTGGAAACCAGCGCGGCTTTTTTTTTTCAGGGCCATTTTATTTGCTCAGTTGAAACTGTCTTAAAAAAGGAAAAGAAAAAAACCCATAACATGGACACCAAAACACCCAAACAGTGGAAAAGGTAACAGTGGGAAGAAGAAAAACCCTGTAATCCCCCTTCACTAAAGTCTTTTAAAAGTATTATTTCCTCCCAATAAACCACCCTGTGGGACCAAGGAAGCAACCACAGGGCAGACTGGTCCCATTGCACATGTAGCCATCAACTGTGGCCACCACAGGCCACTGTGGCTTAGTGACTCCATACCCAGCACCACAGGAGACCAAGCTGGCTAGGCCGGCCACTGGAAATCAGGAATTACAACAAGGAAAGCCTCTTTAAGGTGAGATGCTGACCCCCAGCCTCCTGTTGTCCCTCCTCGTGCCACTGGCAGGATAGCTTTCCAGCGTGGGGAATGGTGGGACTTTCAAACCTGGCCCAGATGCCTCTGGTCCAGAGGGGATGCTCCGATATGGCCAGGCACACACAGGGCTGTGGCTGCAGCAGGCTCCACGGGATGGGTTGCTTTATCAAATGCTGCAAATCCCCTTTTCCAGACCACCAGAAACACTGATTTGGCTGAGTGGGCAGAGCAGGGAATCTGTGGGCATCTTCAAAGCAAAATCCTAACCCACAGGGGCCCTGTGGATGTCCCCTGCCTTGGTGACACAGGATGTTTGTGGGATTTGGGGAGATGGTTCAGCTGGTGTTTTGGCATCACCTTGCCCTGGTCCTCGTCACACTTTGTACCGGTGGTGCACTGAAGGGAACGGCGATGGGCGCCTTGGGCTCACCACCATCAATGAGGAGGCTGGAGCTGGCTGCAGGGGGACCATGGCAGGGCCACCCACCTTGTGCAGGGCCTTTTGGTGTTTCCCAGTCTGTATGTACAAAGCTTATCTGGTCACTTAAAAAACAAAACAAAACAACTTTTGCAAGCTCTTTAAGCAACATTTTTGATTGTCTTTGGTCTTACCAGGGTGCCACATGGCATGTCTCTGGCTCCAGTGTGAGACACCCTCTGCTCCTTGTCCCCAGGGTGGTGGTGTGTGAACACACACACGCAAGGAAACTCACACATGTTTTCCCTCTCTTTAAGGTAGGTTAATTACAAAAATTGATTGGTAAGGGACCAGTTTGTGGAACAACCAGCAGAAGACCATCTGCAAAAGTGTTCTTGCAGCTGGTGACATAGCAAAAGCTGCCTGGGTGGCAGCCTTGAATGGGAAGAGCATAGGATGTGTGTGTCCCCCAACCCAAAACCCAAAGGAGCTCTCCCACTGGGCTGGGACATTGCTGGGAGAGTCCGTAGTTTGGGGCAGAGGAGGGCATGTGGGAATGAGGGTGCT